CACACACACACACACACACACACATACACACACACACACACACACACACACATACACACACACACACACTCTCGCTCTATCTGCGGATGGACATGAAAGTGCACGCCAGTTATGATCTCTCGCGGATGGCTTTTGCTATCTCCAGCAGGGCGTTGCACATCATTCTATTCGCCTCATCCGCCTCTGCATAGTGTTTCCTCTGCACCTCCACCTCGCTCTCCAGGATTTCGCACTGCCGCGACATCACAGAGCACTGCCGCTTGCTGGCGCTGTCCATTGTGCTCGCCATGAGCGCACCGTGCTTCTCCATGACGTCGGCGACGGCTTCAAAGGTTTGTTGCCGCATGTTTTTCCTCTTCCCATAACCGCCGCCTCTTCCCGCGCTGAATGACGAGTCTTTCGTCAACTCCTGTTCCTCGTCAGTCGTCTCCCCTCCACCATCGGCGCCCATGGTGCCCCCATCCCCCCTCGCGCCTGCGGGCATTTGAACCCCCCCCGCCGCCCCAGTGTCAGCCAAATTTGCCGGGTGGATCGTGCGATCCCCCTTCGTCATGGCCTCCATTTCGTCGTACACGCTCCGGTCCATAACGAAGCTGAAGCCCTTCGATCGCCTCTCCCTCGAAGCAAGCCTGAAGTAGTCCTTCCCGCCGGAGAGGTTCTGAAACTTGTGCACCTTCATGAATTGTTGCATCAAGTTGTCCCATTTCTTCTCGCAGTCGACGGCATCCCTCGTCACTCCCATCGCCTGCAACCTCACCCGCACGTCCTCCCACTTCCACGCAGCCGTTTTCATGCGGGTGAAACTAGTCCCCATGCCGGCGATATAGAGATCTTGATCCCTTTTCGCCCTCACGAGCGCGGCCGTGTCTCCCACCGACCAGAAATTTCGGCCGCCCTCGCCATCGTCATCCATGTTCTTCGTCCGTCTCGGTTTCATGGCGGGGCCCTTCTTCGCACCGGATCCGCCTCTTGTCGCCCTCCTCCCAAGCGGCCTGATGTCTGGTAAATCGTCAGACTTGCAACCGTCCTCGCCGTCCACGTCACCACACCCCTGCCCCTCATCAACAGCCGCGTTTTCCACTTCGTCGATGTGCAGCCGTTGCACCCCTCTGGTGATCGTCTCCGTTTCACCTCGATGCAACTCCTGCCTGCATTCTGGCCAGACCTGCCTGCCGTTGCGTTGCACGTCCGGAAATGCCCCAATTAAATCCTCCGCCGGTTGTCGCCCTCGAGTAGCGCCGTGTCCGCTTCACGTAGCAGGCGACAAGCGCATCCAGTCCGGTCGTTTACGCGCACCGAATCCTCCACCGACGCTCGGCCACGAGTTATTACGATCACCTCCACCGTCGCGAACCGATTGAGGCAGACTGCCGTCTCGTGGGCCTCAGACAGCGCCTTGCGTGTTTTCCGCACAATCCCCACCCGGGTGGGGATTGATGATCCGAGTGTGCGTTGCGGCTGCTCCGCTACTGCTCGACAGATGAAAGCTCAGATCGACCGCTGCATCGCCGTCGTCATCGCACAGCCCCTCGTTCAGAAGTGACGTGTAAGACCACGACGTCCCCACCCCCCTGCCGCCGCACGATTGCGTCGACGCCCAGTCCTGGGTAGAACCGCTTCCCAACGGCAAAGTCGGCGACCTGGCTTCCCCCCCCTCGTCATCCGACGGCGGCAGAGGAATCTCGTGAGAAGGGAGGTGCGCATACAACCTCGGGTCGTACGGCTGCTTCGCCACCGACCCTGCACTCCGTTGGCGATTGATAGATCCGCCGGATGTGCCTGCCGGTCTGCCGTTCGGCAGTCGTCCAGCCATCCTGTCGGCCTTCCTGGGAGATCTCCTTCTGCGAGACGCGACCGGGACGAGGCCAACGAGACACACGTGGTACAAGACAATGGCGAAAAGCAGCAAGACGACAAGGAACAACAGGGGAAGCCTGTACAACAGGTCGGCCATGTAAGGGCCGTTCGCAGGGGATGCAACCGACGTCGGCGGTGGACCGTGCAACGAACAAGGTCGTCGGGACAAGGAAAATCAGTGGAAGATCTGTGCTCGAACGTGCGAGGCGTGACGACAGTGGAAGAAAACGACGATCATGTCGAATGAATGTCATCGCCGAACGGGGAGCCATGTGCAAAAACTTTCGAATTTCAGACCGTTGTCGACGATCGCCCGCCGGAGCAGACCGCACGACGGCGGTGACCGTCGAGTCGCGCGGACGGACGGAGGCCTCGTTCCGCCGGTTACCGTTTGGAGCCGTTGGGACGACGAGCAGACTTTCGAGGCGGAGATGTCCGTGCTCCCTTTCGGCGGACCACGTTTGGAGCACCCTCCAACCGAAATTGTGCGTCGACGCATGCCTTCGTCGCTTCGAATTTCGCGCTTCCTTGTGTTACGAGGGACCTCGGGAGGTCCCTTGGGGCTGGGGGAAAATTGGCTGTGGCCAGAAGGACGCCACAAGGAAATGTCCTTGTGTTGTTTTCACATTTTTTTTCGACGATCGTCCCCAAGGATAGGTGTAACGATCATTTCCTTGTGGATTTCGGGTCCACAAGGAGTGTCTAACGAAGCCCATAGGCTCCCATGGAACCCCTCCCCTCAGAATGATAACTTAGAATTGGCTACCAGGAAACCCTTCCCCTCAGAATTGGCTACCAGGAAACCCTTCCCCTTAGAATTGGCTACCAGGAAACCCTTCCCCTCAAAATTCCTATTGCCACAAGTCTGTTTTTGCTTAGAAGGACCCGTACTCATACTAGCTTTCCCTGCATGGGTTTGACCATTACCCCATCGAATTACCTTCTTTCCCCCGAATACAATGTACGGTCATTATAACTGCATTTAGACTGAAAGATACCCCAAATACAGCTATAATTACCGTACGTTGTATCTGGGGGAAGAAGGTACTAGCTGGAATGAGGACCTGCCGATGCTTCCTGTCAACCAACAGTCAGACTCACACTTTCCAACTTGCAGTAAACCAGGTCTTCACTTGTTCAGGTCGCCACCAGGGCGGAATTTTTTTTTTTTTTTTTTTTTTTTTTTTTTTTTTTTTTTTGACGAAAACAACCGAAGTAAATGCTAGTGGTGCTGATAAGAGCACCTCAGTTGGTAAGGCACAGAAGGTGCATTCAGGAGGTTGTGGGTTCAATCCCTATTGGCCTCACAATGTGTCAGGGCAAGCTTGGTGTTCTACCAGCTAGAGATAACCCGTCGGCCCCCCAAGCCAGCATTGGCAGGACCTTGACTGATGTTGTTGGCTGCTATGCAGCGACAATATTGACCATTAGACACCGCCATGTGGGGTTGGGGGGGGGTGGGGGAAGGTGCAATGACTGGCCATTGCTCGGCGCTAGCACCGCCGATTTCCCCCATCGGCAATGCCTGCCCACACCTCGTCACCGTGATGAGGGACTGGTACAGCCTTGCCTTCGCACCACAGCTGTGGTGCCAACCTACCCTGTGGGTTGGGGAGGGATCCGAGGTGGTTGGTGTTCCCCCATACTATATATAGAATAGTGAGAGGATGATTTAGATGCGTACTATCAAGAAAAATGAGATAGATGAGAGAAGAATATAGCTTACCTTTAAAAAAAAATAAAAAAATAACAGCAAACACCACCAATAGGGCGGAAGTTTTCTTATCAATAAGCAAAAAGGGAAAAAAGAAGAAAGGGAAGAAGAAACAGAGGAAGGGGAGAATCCTCTATGACAACCACTAAGGGAAGTTGGACAGGCGAGTTAATGGATAGGCGTCTTCATGCGTTTACGGTATTTTTTTTCGGTACGTTGTTGTATGTTGGGATGACTAACCGCGATTTGAATACTCATTGGAAAGAGCACAAATATGTCCGTCGGACAAATGGGAAACGGAAAGTGTATGGTTGGTTGAGAAGATTCGGGATGGAAAAGTATTGTGTGTGTCCGATCTGTTTTGGAAGGGCAGTGGCAATCATGGAAATGGCAAACAAGGTAATAAGGAGTAATAATCCGGGGTTAGGCTCTAAATTGTGCAGGAAGACGGGACTTTAGAACTGGAGGAGCAAGAAACAGAAGGGAGACAAGGGACAGAGTGCTCCGGGCCACTGCTCTTTACGTGTGAAGCATTACACGCCTTTCATCAGCCGGACTTGCTCAAGATACTCAGGACGGTACATAAGAGTCAGGATAAGACCAGCTCCAAGAGGACCAATATAAAAAATGTGGTTGGGCCTACGTGGCTGAAAGCGTTGAACTTGGTCCGACTAATATGTGGGCACAGTATGATAGTGAAGGGCAGGAGGAAACTACACAAAAGGATACATAGAAGAAGGCGGGGAACAGACCTTGTGGCCATGGAAGTTGTGGGGTATTGTAAGGACTGAAGTATCAAAGCCGAAGTGATTGGATTGTTGTAGGCACCATGGAAAAGAAGAAATATTTTGAAGAAATCTCTTGATGAATGCTGGAGATGGAGAACATGATTGAAAAGTTTTCAGAGAGAAAAGGCAAGCAAATAGTTAGAGCCTTAGATTGAYTGCGACCAGGGTKWTGAAAAARAAGTTTGGGCTAGACCCCAGAATGAGGGTGGTGGTTAAACTACCTAGACACTCCGATGTGAYGAAGAGGAATGTGGGAAGATAAATGAAGAGCARTTYAARGGCTAGGATTGAACATGCAGTGTTCAGTGACTTGATGGTGCGGAGGATGAGGTTGATTTCGGCAAAAGCGCCAAGAATCGCTGGTATCCTGCACAACYAGAAGCAATGTGCTAGCGCGGAGAAACAAATGTGCACATGCCGGGCGGTTTGAACTGCCCATAGTTGATGGGCACGCCCAAGTCAGACTTTACGAGATCATGGGCATTCCTTCCTCACTTTGTACATAACTCTAAGAATGCACCAGTACATGACGTGCCAACTTCCGCGCTTGAACGAGCTTTCGAAGCCCTAGGTTCTACTACTCTTTTTCTTTTCGGTCCTTAACAGGGTTTGGGTGCCTTCTTGTCAACAGGCGAGTACTGCATGGAACCAATGGCCGCCGAGGCCCTCCCAATTCGAAGTATTTTTGTTTTCTCAGAATTTTCAGAAATTTTCTTTTTCTTCAAAATGCATGAATTCAAGTAGGAATCACGCGCACCCGGTGCGCGCTAGGAATTTTGTTCGACAGTTGGGAACTCTGAAATTTGCGGGCGCACTTCCCGCTCACGTGTCCTTTCTCGTACATGAGTGTTCAAATCCGCCACGGAAACCTTATGGAATTTCCTCGAGAGACTAGAATAGGCGTAGGATATCCGCATGTCTAATTCCGTGCGCAGATATTGCTTTTGAATTTTTCAATCTTGAACTAGTTTTAGAGCTGGGGTGGACAAAGCGTAACTGTTTCAGTGTCTTTTTGTTTCCGCATCAGTGCCATGCATGCAAGCTTCCCCCGCTTCTTGCTGTATCCAAAGACATCCTCACTCTCCTCTCCTTCACGCCTTCTTCCCTTGACTCGTAACTGTTTTTCATCCCCTTGTCCTTCACACTTCTCCCTCCCTTCATCTAAATCGTGGCCCCTCCTCGCATCGTTCTTCGCCTCTCCCCCTTCCTGTCGTCATTCCCGTACWGGAGCCTTYAAGMAATCAGACAACAGCATGTAAGGATGATTAATCTCCTCACATTGTGATCTGATTGGCTGCGAAGAACTCGGGCGGATTGATATGGCATTCCCAAGGCAAATAATAGTATTCCCCTCCTCCCTCTSTTTGACCCCTTCTCGACGTTCTCGTTCCGTCTCTACCGTCTTCTACTTCCTCCTTCATAATCGTGGCCCCTCCTCGCATCGTTCTTCGCCTCTCCCCGTTCCTGTCGTCATTCTYGTACAGGAGCCTTCAAGCAATCAGATAACAGCATGTAAGGATGATTAATCTCCTCACATTGTGATCTGATTGGCTGCGAAGAACTCGGGCGGATTGATATGGCATTCCCCAAGGCAAACAATAGTATTCCCCTCCTCCCTCTCTTTGACCCCTTCTCGACGTTCTCATTCCGTCTCTCCCGTCTTCTACTTCCTCCTTCATAACTATAAAATCGCAAGCATTTYCGAAAATCTCTCTCTMAACCCACCTGCCAGCTTCAAGGAAGTAGTGGCTAGATGATGTGACGATCGGCGAGTCAGAAAGTCCTGATTATCTGAGTGTAGTTTTGCAAGGCTGWGCGTCGGGTGGCCGCGGGAGATTGCGGGGACCTAAGCAAGTCGGCATAGAAACTAAGTCRGTGGGGTGACAAACGCTGTGGTGGGGAATTTGGTATGTGTCGGCTCCGACTCGGCCGGGATYGCCAGTGCGAGAGTAAGGAAGGCGTGTGTGTACGAGGTTTTGCATGGTCTGGGGCCATGATATGAGAGCAGAAGATTTGTGCCCCTTGTTCTTCGTTCTTATCTAGTTTTGAAGTGAAGTTAATGTTGAAATGTCAGATTTCCTCAGATCTCCTCGTATGCTTGCAACTTTGTTGTTCTCCTTAGTCCCCTTCTTCTGTCAAGCTACGACTTCGTCACACTCTTGTTCTCTCTCTCTCTCTCTCTTGGATGAAGTGTCCGGGTTGGTTACAATTATAACACTCTACTATTCGTGGACTAACGACTACTTGGTGGGTGACAAGTGGGACAGGGAAAGAAGCTTGCATAAGCAAGGGAGGTGCAAGAAGCAAGGGGTAAGCGGGAGAGGGATTAGCTCACGACGCTTCTRTATTTGCGCTCAWAAGTTTTCACAATACTTSCTTTAATCGGTMCGTCTGAGAAGTTTGTGTTTGTATTAGGCGATTCAAGTTTATCACTTCCGGTTGTCRGRAACTCACAGAATGAATCATTTGAGCCACATGAAG